ACCTCACACCACCAAGAAGGCAGTGCCAGGAGCAGAGCCCGTCCTTTGGACCTGAGGTTCCTGCACTGAGATGCTCCCAGAACAAGGGAAGACTGATGACAAGGACCTTCCTCCAGAGCCAACAGAGAAGAGAAAGCCTTCCCCTGGAACTGGCACCCTGAATTTTGGACTTGTAGCCTACTGGACTATGAGAGAATAAATTTCTCTTTGTTAAAGTCATCCACTTGTGGTGTCTCTGTTATGGCAGCACTAGATGACTAAGACAATCACCAAGGCCATATTTTCCAACTACTTATCCTTCTTCGTTTCCAACTTTCACATTCCAATCACCAGTAATTATCAGTGCATCCTGATTGCACGTTTGATCAATTTCAGACTGCAGAAGTTGGTAAAAATCTTCAGTTGCTTCATCTTTGGGCTTAGTGGTTGGCGCGTAAACTTGAATAATAGTCATATTAACTGGTCTTCCTTACAGGCATATGGATATATTATCCTATCACTGACAGCATTGTACTTCATGATAGATCTTGAAAGGTTCTTTTTGATGATGAATGCAATGCCATTCCTCTTCAAGTTGTCATTCCCGGCATAGTAGGCCATATGATTGTCTGATTCAAATGGCCAATTTGAATCGGACAATCATACGGCCAATACCAGTCCATTTCAGCTCAATAATGCCTAGGATATCAATGTTTATGCATTCCATTTCATTTTTGACGATTTCCAATTTTCCTAGATTCATACTTCATACAGTCCGCGTTCCGATTATTAATGGATGTTTGCAGCTGTTTCTTCTCATTTGGAGTCGTGCCACATCAGTAAATGAAGGTACCAAAAGCTTGACTCCAACCACGTCATTATGGTCGACTCTACTTTGAGAAGGTAGCTCTTCCCCAGTTGTCTTTTGAGTGCCTTCCATCCTAAGGGGCTTATCTTCTGGCACTACGTCAGACAGTGTTCTGCTGCTATTCATAAGGTTTTCACTGGCTAATTCTTTTCAGAAGTAGACTGCCAGGTTCTTTTTCCTAGTCTGTCTTAGTCTGGAAGCTCAACTGAAACCTGTCCACCAAGCGTGACCCTGCTGGTATTAAATACTGGTGGCATAGCTTCCAGCATCACAGCAACACGAAAGCCCCCACAGTACGAAAAAGTGACAGACAAGTGGGGGCATTAACATAATAGAGGTTAGAATTTACAACACATAGGATAATCACATCAGATCACAAAATGGTGGACAACCACACAATACTGGGAATCATGGCCTAGCCAACTTAACAAACATTTCTGGGGGACACAATTCAATCCATAACAGTCCCTTCTTGCCTTCTCCTCCTGCTTTTGGACAGGAGTTGCCCATTTGGTCTCATATATTTGATTGAAGCACATTCCTCATGTGTGTTATTTTTTCTTTTATAGGCCTGTCTAATCTCTGTCTGAGAAGTGGGCTTCAGGAATGGTTTCAGTTCTGGGTTAGGAGAGTGTCAAGGGGCCATAGTTTTGGGGGTCCACCAGTCTCTGTCAAACCAGTAAGTCTGGCCTTTTTTTGTGAATTTGAATTCTGTTCTACATTTTTCTCCCATTCTATCCGGGACTCTGTTGTGATCCCTGTCAGAGTGGTCATTGTTGGTTGCCGGGTACCATCTAGTTCGTCTGGTCTCAGGCTGGTGGAGATTCTGGTTCATGTGGTCCTTTAGTCCTTTGGGCTAATATTGTCCTTTCGTCTTTGGTTCTCTTCATTCTCCTTTGCTCCTGATGGGATGGGATGCATCTTAGATGACCACTCACAAGCTTTGAAGACCCCAGACGCTACTCACCAAAGTGGGATGTACAACATTTTCTTTAGGAACTATGTTATGCCAATTGACCTAGATGTCCCCCAAGACTGTGGTTCCCAGGCCCCAGCCCCAGCTACTTGGTCACTCAAAGTGTTTGGATGTGTCTAGGAAACTTCTATACTCTTGCTTTGGTCCAGTTGTGCTGACTTCCCTTATACTGTGTGTTGTCCTTACCCTCACCGAAGCTGACACTTGTCTACTATCCAGTTAGTGATTTCCCCTCCCCTTCCCTTTCTCACCCTTGTAACCATCAAAGAATGCTTTTTTCTGCATGTAAGCCTTTTCCTGAGTTCTTATAATAGTGATCTTATACAATATTTGTCCTTTTGTGACTGACTTATTTCGGTCAGCATATGCCCTCCAGATTCATCCATGTTGTGAGGTGCTTCCCAGATTCATCATTGTTCTTTATCGTTGCATAGTTTTCCATTGTGTGTATGTACCATAATCTGTTTATCTATTCTTCTGTTGACGGGCATTTAGGTTGTTTCCATCTTTTTGCTATTGTGAATACTGCTGCAATGAACATGGCTGTGCATATGTCTATTCGTGTGTGATACTCTTATATCTCTAGGGTATATTCCTAGGCACTGCTGGGTCTTATGGTATTTCTATTTCTAGCTTTTAAAGGAAGCTCCATATAGTTTTCCACCAGCAGTGCGTAAGAGTTTCAATCTCCCCACAACCTCGCCAACCTTCTTTTTTTTTTTTTTAAATTAGTGCCACTATTGTCTGGGTGAGATGGTATCTCAATGTAGTTTTGATTTGCATTTCTCTAATGGCTAGTGATCACGAGCATTTCCTCATATGTCTGTTAGCTGCCTGAATGTCTTCTTTGGTGAAGTGTCTGTTCATTTCCTCTGCCCATTTTTTAATTGGATTATTTCTCTTTTTGTTGTTGAGGTGTTGCACTATCTTGTTGATTTTAGAGATTACACCCTTGTCGGATATGTCATAGCCAAAATTTTTTTTCCCAGTCTGTAGGTTCTCTTTTAAGAAATCCATATTTGTGCCCATTCCAAAGAAAAGTGAGCCAATGGAATGCAGAAATTATCTAACAATATCGTTGATATCACACACAAGTAAAATTTTGCTGAAGATAATTCAAAAACGGTTACAGCAGTACATTGACAGGGAACTGCCAGAAATTCAGGCTGGATTCAGAAGGGACATGGAATGAGAGATATCACTGCTAATGTCAGATAGAACTTGGCTGAAAGCAGAGAATACCAGAAAGATGTTTACCTGTGTTTACTGACTATGCAAAGATATTTGACTATGTGGATCATAACAATTTATGGGTAACATTGTGAAGAACAGGAACTCCCGAACACTTAATAGCTGGGGCAGAACAAGGGGATACTGTGTCGTTCAAAATCAGGAAAGGTGTGCGTCAGGGTTGTACCCTTTCACCATACTCATTCAATCTGTATTTTGAGCAAATAATCTGAGAAGCTAGACTACATAAAGAAGAACGTGGCATGAGGATTGGAGGAAGACTCATTAACAACCTGTGATATGCAGATGATACAACCTTGCTTGCTGAAGTGAAGAGGACTTGAAGCACTTACTGGTGAAAATCAAGGATTACAGCCTTCGGTATGGATTATACCTCAACTGAGAAAACAAAAATCCTCACAATGGGACAAATAAACAATATCATGATAAATGGAGAAAAGACTGAAGCTGTCAAGGATTTCATTTTACTTGGATCCACAATCAACACCCATGGAAGCAGCATTCAGGAAATCAAAAGATGCATTGTATTGGGCAAATCTGCTGCAAAAGACCTTTTTAAAGTGTTGAAAAGCAAAGATGTCACCTTGAGGACTAAGGTGTGCCTGATCCAAGCCAGGATATTTTCAGCCGCCTCATATGCACGCGAAAGCTGGACAACGAATAAGGAAGCCCAAAGAAGAACTGATTTATGGTGTTGACATGTTATCAGGAGGGACCAATCCCTGAAGAAGGACATCATGCCTGGTAAGGTAGAAGGTCAGTGAAAAAAGAGGAAGACCCTCAACAAGATAGATTGACACAGTGGCTGCAACAATGAGCTCAAACATAGCAATGACTGTGAGGATGACACAGGACTGGGCAGTGTTTCGTTTTGTTGTACATAGGGTTGCTGTGAGTCAAAATCAACTTGACAGCACCAAACAACAAAAACAGAATAAAAAACAAAAGAAAAATAACAAGTGTTGATGAAGAGAAACTAGAATCTTCGTACAATGTTGGTAGGAATGTAAAACGGTACAGCTGTTGTGGAAAACAGTTTGGTGGTTCCTCAAAAAGTCAAACATAGAATAACTAAATGACCCAGCAATTCCACTCTGAGGAATTCTCCCAAGAGAGATAAAAACTTGTGTCCACACCAAAAACATGTACATGAATGTTCATAGCATTATTCACAATAGCGAAAAGGTAGAAAGAACCCAAATGTCCATCAACAGATGAATGGATAAATAAAATGTGCTATATACATACAGTGGAATATTACTCAGCCATAAAGAGAAATGACGTCTTGATACATGCTACAACTTGGATGAACCCTGAAAACATTAGGCTAAGTGAAGGAAGCCAGATACAAAGGGACAAATATTGTATGACTCCATTTGTATGAAATATCCAGAATAGGCAAATACATAGAAACAGAAAGCAAATTGATGGTTGCTAGGGTCTTGGAGTGGGGGAATGGGGAGTAACTGCTTAATAGATATGGGATTTCCTTTTGGGGTAATGAAGTGTTTTGGAACTAGAAAGAGGTAGTGGCTGCACGACATTGTGAATGTACTAAATGCCACTGAACTGTTCACTTTAAAATCCTTAATTTTATGTTATATGAATTCACCTCAATAAAAAGACATAAATAAAACATATTTTAAAAGACTGGATCTCCACCTCACACCTTACTCTAGGATAAATGCTTGATGAATGGAAGATTTAAATGTAAAGACAAAACCATAAAATATTTTGAAAAAACTATGGGAGAAGGCTGTTATAATTTCAGAATGAGGCAGGCCTCTCTAAAAATGATGCAAAGTCCAAATTTTATACAAGAAAAGACTGATAAATGAACTGCTTAAAATTTTTTTTAAATCTGCATGGCAAAACAAAACAACACTGTAAAGAAGGTAAAGGTACAAATGACAAGCTGCAAAATATATATACAATTTATATCAGAGACAAAGGGCTGATTTCCTTAACCTATCTGAAGAGCTATCATACAGCAATAAGAAAAAGACAAACACCACCAAAGAAAAAACAAGCAAAAAAAGGACAAATGGTATGAGCATAGTGTAGCCTGAAAGGGAGAGATAGGTGGCAGCTAAGCCTCTGAGAAGATGGCCTTTGTCCCAAGATGCTGGGGAGCCATGCAGGCTATGGCCTTTTCTCACCTCGTACTTCTCAAAGTAGACATTGCCCAGGTGCAGGATGGAGGCCAAGATGCGGAAGATGCTGTCCTGGTCCTCGACACTGAAACCGAGCACCTCCATGGCGGCCAGGAGCCGCCGGAAATCATCCACATCACTCTTCCCCTGGATCTCACAGTTCCCACCCTGGTTGAGGGCAAGGGCCAGGGGTCAGGGGCCCTGAGTGGGAGCCTGAAGCCCTCCAGGTCCCTGCTCTGCCCAACCGCTGGTGTGACCCCAAGCCAGTCCCTCAAGCTCTCCTTATGAAAAGGGCATTCCATTCTTATGTGCCAAGAGACCCTGAGCACGGCTGAGGAATGCCTACATGCAGCAGGGGTCATTACACTCTGATCTTTGTCATAGCCCAATGGTAATGATGACAAAAAACAGCAGCCAACGTTTATTGACAACTTACTACATGCCAGTTCGTGAGCTAAGTGCTTACAGGCATTTCTTCATCTAATCCTCACTATAGCCCTGTGAAACAGACACTATGTTGTTCCCATTTTACAGATGAGGAGACTGAGGCACAGAGAGGGCAAGTGTAGTAGGTCTAGGCTGGCTAGTTCCCCTCCAGGCTCCAGAGAACTGAACAGTCAGGCAGACCTCCTATGCCTTCCACTTTGAACCACAAAGACTTCTGCCTCCCTTGCTGCAGTGGAAAGCTTAAATCCACACTTTCCCTCCCTAAACCTCCAACACCTTCACTGGCCATTAGGGCAGCATGAGTTGGCTGCCTGCTCAGCCCAAGGGGTGATGGGGGTGGGAAGACCAGGCCTGTGGGGCATCCCTTATCCTGCTCCTGGGGCAGATTAAGGCTGTGCCCACTGGAAGCCTAGCCCCAGCCTCACTGGCATGCCCCCACTCCCACAGGCCCCATGGGGCCCTCAGGTGTGCCCACCTGGTTCAGGTAGTAGTAGGTCTCAGCCTCCTGCAGGCTGAAGGTCTGGCGGAGCTGAGTGGGCAGCCCGGCCAGCAGCTCATAGAAGATGTGGTAGTTGCGCTCGTTTTTGGCCTGCAGGGGGTGGCCAGGCCCAGAGAGGGAACACACATACAGACCCACTTACAGGCCTGCGCGCGCACGCGCACGCACACACACACACACACACACGCGCACACACACACACACGCACACACACACACACACACGGACCACTGAAGAGGCAGGGCACCCCGTGTGGCAAGCTGGCCTCCCCAGCCTGACACTGACTGAGGTGGGGTAGACAGTGGAGGGGTGCCAGTAATACGTGGGGGAAAGCAGGCTCTGGACCAGGTTTTGTTTGGAAAACTAGGAGAAAGCTAGCCTGTCTCTGATGTGCACCAGCCACACACATCTGTGTACATGTGTGTTCACAGGCCCAAGTGTGCACACACAGAGCCTCCCCATGGGCCACTCAGCCAGGCGGGCTGGGTGCTTCCTGGGCCCTTGGGCACAGTGAAGAGCAAGACAGACAGTGATTTAGGAAATAATACTGGAGTTATTATTGCCTCTCTTAAGCACAGAGAATGTGACCCAGCTGGAGCTGGGCTCACAGAGACTCACAGGGACACATCCGCTGGGCCCTGAGGTATAAAGACAACAGCTAAGATAATCTTGGAAAATATCCTTTAGGGAAACTTTCACATAAAGCCAGTCAAACAGAACACAAAAGACCTTCTACTCTTATCTTTTTCTATTAGCATTTAGTGAATAGAAACTTGTTGGAACAATGAAGACCCTCCTCGTTACTGAAACCTGTACCAATGATTAAGAAAGACGACTCAAAATGTAGAATCACAATTTCTAGCCAATCTGAAAAGGTGACACTTTCAATGGTTTTGCCCATTTGTAATGTTAATATACACTGATGATTCTGTAATGGTCTTTGGACTCGGGCAGACATGGCTGTGGCAGCATGGTTGTCTGTTTTCTCACTCTTGCCTATTCTGTAACATTCTGCGGACTCAGGTAGACATGGCTGTGGCAGCATGCTTGTCTGTTTTCCCATTCTTGTCTATTCTATAACATTCTTGGACTCAGGCAGACATGGCTATGGCAGCATGGTTGTCCGATTCCCACTTCTGCCCTTTTGAATATATGCCGAATGAAACTTTCTTTTTGCTTTACTAGACTGTGAAGTTTTTCCCCTACAACAGTTAATGGCTTAGTCGTCAAGGATTCTGAAGCTACGAATCCAGTCAACCTCGAGGAGACCTGGACTGCGGAGTAGAAGCTAGCAAACAGAGGTCCTATCTTTTGGACACTCCATGTCCTTTCAACACCAACGGGGTGAGTGCTCTCGGAAAACGAGCCTTTGCTTATTCTTTTTAGTTCTCTTTCTCATATATTCTTAAGTTTTGTTCAGCATATTTGTTTGAAAAAACAGTTGTTTGATTAAGGAGAATCTTTCTTAGATTTTTGCTTGATCATTTGGTTAAGAGTGACATTTAGTAACTCTTTAACTGAACTGCAGTTTAGGTCCGCATTCGGGTGTTTGAAACATTAAAGAGGTAATTCTATTTTCAAAGAGCTTTGAGTCACTATAAGCTGCAAAATTCTGGCCTTTTTATGGCTGAGAGAAAACCTGGAAAATAGTGCTCTGCTTTGCCAAATTTGCAGGGAGAGGTGGCAGCTCTTGCCTGTGTTGCCAAATTCTCAGGGGGTGATGGCAGCTCCTGACTTGTGTTATGAAATTTAAGGGAGAAGTGGTAGTTCCGTACCTGTTTTATGATAGTTTCTCAATAAAGAACTACAATGTTAAAATTAAAATCACTGGTAACTTTAAAGTACTTTCCAATTGGAAGAACTAGTCTATTTAAGGTCTAAAATAAGAGACTAGGTCTCTAGCCAGCAGAATGAATTAAGTTCAAAAGGAAGGAAATCAAAAGCTTGAACTTTATTGCTTAACATCTTTGATAAATGAGCCTGAATTTTCCCCCTACTGCTGAGACACTGGTTTGGGTTTCATATTTAAAAACACTATAAACTGAGTATACTAGAAGTAATTTGGAATTTCAGTGACCACTTTGGGAAAATGAGCCGTCATTTGTGTTGTCATTTCTTTCTTTTAGGGAAATTTTGCTTGATGCTCAGGTTTTGTCAAAAGGTCTAATATTCCTCCATCTGAGGCTCTGGCAAGTTAATAAGTTTTATCCAGAACCTGTTTTTTCCATTGAATCAAGTTGGTCTTACCAAAAATTGCTATATACACTTCTAAGAAACTAGGATCCCCATATCCTTGTTTTGTGTGGTATTATCTGGTGAGATTATGTGGTCTTTCTGTCTCCTTTTGTCCTGAGAGCTTGCTTCTGCTCTAGAGCATTGTGTCTAATTTTGTCTTGTATTAGATTGGTGGCTATGGCTAAGAACTGGTGTTTTTTGTAAGGCTAGTCATAGAACCTTAGTTCTTTCTTCATCCAGAAAAAATTGCGTCTTGTGTCTGCCTTATGATTTAGACTTTTAGTAACTACTTAAAGAAACTTTGATATAAATTGGTCTATTTGAAAAGTATACTAAGATCTTTATGTTTTATACTATGTCAATCTTAAAAGTGAAACCTTCCTAAGTAACTTAAGCTAAATATTATATGAAATGTGTTTTATTTAAGGAAAAAGGATAGTTTTGTCTTAAAGTAAAAGTAGCAGTTCCAGAACAGTAAAAAAGAAATTAGTTATCTTTCGCCCTTCAAAATTCCTAGGTCAATTTAAACATATGTAAATGAATTGGGATGACACCCCCAGCCCCAGGCTTGCTAGCCAAGAATTGATGGATTCATTTACAAAATGGCTAAAAAGCTTTGGTATTTATTGGGTAGATAGCCTTTCAAAATGCCTCCATCCATTTAAACATATGTAAATGTCTTACATGAGTCAAGAGAGTGAGGGCAGGGCACCATCAGGCCTCCTCAGCCCCCAACCCCCAGTCTCCAAGGTCGTATAGCTCCAGGGAAGCTTTTGAAAGACCCTTTACAGCTAGGTGGAGACTCTTTTGAGACAAAAGATAAGAAAAATTGCTGCTCTGCTATAGTTATCAGAAATTGAGTGGATCCTAATCATAGAGCTGTAAACAAGTTCTATTACAGGGGAACTCTAAGAAGTCCAACAACAGGAATCACAATGATACACACCTGAAGTGGCCTGGAAAAATGTTTCCACTCCTAGCCAGACATTTAAGGTTATATCCATATCAATGAATTGGTCAACTGAGCAGAGACTCTGTGATTTCCAAAACCACCTGATAAAATCTTTAAGGGCTAAAATTAGATTGGGAAAAATATAAGTAGTAAAGGCTGAATGAAATCTTAGAATGTTTAAATAGACTTTTCTTTCAACAACAGTTACATTTTATGATATACAGGCTTAAAATAATTCCAAAGACATTTTAGGTAACTTACAGATGTTAAATTCAGTTAATAGATATTTGTCATAATTTAAGCTTATATACTTTGGCTTTTTATGCCACAAGAGAAAGAACAGACATATATATACATTTAAGTCTGCTAATGAGTGTGTTCATCTTTGTCATTTAAAGGGATGCACTATAAGGATATGCAACAAAGGCAATGTTTAAGAGGTTTATTGCAAAAGAAATTTATTTGATAAGGTCAAGTTTCATCTGACTAAAGTTTAATGGTTTAATTTATGAGATTTTTAGGAGTTTTAATGTTAAGTAGTATATAAAACAAAGAATTGGGTTTCTTGCATTTAAAATAACAAAATTTTCTTTAATTTCTGAGTTAAAGGGTTAATTTATTCTTTGTGTAATTTGCCTGGAAAACAAAGGTTTTGCCTCTCATTAGAATAAGATTCCTGAGTCTGAATAGTAAGCCACATGGCTTTTAGGAAAGCTAAGATTTATACTTTAAGATCTTTGGTTAAATAACTTAAGTATTGCTTCAGAGTGACCGATATTGTTTCTTTGCTGTTAACTTGGTCCCAACTTTATCTTTTTGAATCTAGCATTATCAACGCCAATGGTTTGATTAGGGAAGTCATATCATTTACCTATGAAGTTTTCTTATTACTATTCAGGTATTTAGAGATTTTATAATCTTGGTATATTCTTGGTATATCCTGACTATATGGTATTTTGTCTCAAAATCATTATGCATTATATCTGAAGCTCTTTGAATACAGTTAAAGGTTACATTTAGAAATATTTTTTATCTAAAGTTTCTTTGTAACTTATTTTATTTGCTTATAATTAATTTCTATCAGGTCTTTTACTATTAAGAATATTATGTTTATGCATTAATCATGGCCATATTAAGTTTTGTCATCTGCAGATAAGTTTTTAATTTGCTGATTTGCTGAAAACATTTGACGAAAATAAGTCAACAAAAAGATGAACTTTATTCAACTTTGGAAAAAGACCGTGACTAGACTCAATCAAGATTTCCAGAACTCTTATGCAGAAGCTGACAGGTTCACAGACTGCAGCTGATCCAGAACCATACGGAACAGAAATTAAATAAGACTGAGTAAACTAATGGAAACTATGGGTTTTATGTGGGACTGCTGCTGATGTTTTGAGGTCCTAATTTCTGGATATAAGAAACTATTTTCCTTTCTCCTAAATTATCTACCTAATGGGTTTAGATATTGTAACTTGGTAAACTTAGCAAAGTTGTAAATAACCAGAAAAGTGTCTGAAATTTGAGCTATGATTTTACAAAATAGAACAGCATTAGATTTCCTATTAGTTCTCCCAAGAAACAGTTTTGTGCCTTAATAGATAAATGTTGCTGTATTTATATTAATACTCAATCTGAGGTTTTGCAGAATATAGTTGCTGTTGAGGCACATGAAAAGCAGTTACTGATGCTGCTTATGCATAAACAAACACCTTATGAGATTTGTTTCATTAGTTCAGAGACCTTAGGGTCGTGGTTCCATTGGTTATTTCAGACAAGTGGCCTAATATTATCATTAGTGTTTCTGTTTTACTTCCTAGTTTGCTGTATGGTGCCTGGATCTTAAAAACCAGGTGATGCCCAGTTACCATTTGTTGGGCATTTTTGATAAAAGATTCTATAGCAAGATCATGATCCAAAGGAAAGAATGATGAGAGAGTTGTATGTAATTCTCCTGGAATCCAGATTTCTGGTTTTCATGGAGGTTGAGGCAACCCACACAGGACATTGCCTTTGGGGTGTCCTTTTGAACCTCGAGCTTTGAGAAAAAAACTGGTTCCTGAAGACACTTTGAGTCAAACAATGGTCCAGATAAACTAGTAAGACAATTTTGCTTTGGGCATTGTGCTATTTTTTGAAGAATTCAATCTGTTTTAGGAAACTTCAAAGATCAGACTGAGAGTTAGGTTTAAGGTAAATAAGTAATTCGTTTAATCAGTCTTTAAGAGAATGTCGTATGAAATACCTGTCTAATGTTTGTAATCAAACTGTCACCCTCTTACGATGCAGAAAATTATGTCTCTTAAAGAAACCACGTTCTCAGAGGAGATCGACCTCATGGCTCAGACTCCATTTTGTCTTAGGTTTCCACTTCTGCTTCTAAGAAAGTGACCCATGACTGTTAATAGATAAACCATGGAGGAACAGCCTGCCCTCAGGGAGAACACTTAGTATGTTTTAAAGAGATTAACTGAAGACTTCCAAAAGGAGAAGTCCATCCTGTATTATCTTGCTAATCATGAATTCTCTAATGGAAACTTTGTTGTCACATGTAAAATTTTTCTCTATTTTCTGTTTCCTCTTCACAAACTTTGTGTACTCCTTATGGATATATGTTTCTGTGTGGTAGATCCAACTGTGCTAATTTAGATGATCCTTTCCAACTGATAGTGAATTTACATGGGAAATCGCTTGTTTAAATTACTGACGAATGCGTGGACAATGCACTTTGGAAACTTTAGGATTATCTTTAGATATTCATAGTAATGATGCTAGTAAATATTGGAAAGGTAATGTTAATTTGTTACACATTGTAAAATGAAAGTCAGAAGAAAACCCATTGGTCCAACACTCAGGATATGGTTGGTAGCTCTAATTCCTACTTACGGTATACCTGAAGTGGAAAAATCTTTAAGAAATTTGTCAATTGCTATGGGACAAATAGCAAAGATGCTAAGAGGGATGGAAGCACAACAGCGATGTCTGACCTCATTAAGCCAAGCTGACATGAGATAAAAGAATAACCTTAGGTATTTTTATTAGTGTAGTTTGTGCTGTAGCAAGTATCTCTTGTTACATCTGGATAAGTAACACAGGAGAGCAAGCTACTTGGTTACACACTGTAACACTCTTACAAATACCAGATTTGTTTGGTTGGTTACCATCACGAATAAGTACACGGGCTAAATCAGTACTGCAAGGAATAGTAATATTCTTAGTCTACATCCTGACGGTATTAAGCATAATACAATTTATCCTCTATTGTCTTACACACCTAAAAGGGAAAGAAGGCCTTGGGCTAAAATGTTGACGTACATTGAGTCTGCTCATTCTGGCAATGTGACTGATGAGAACATTGCTCTTACTTAAGATCCTGGTGAAGAACCAGATGGTATCCAGTGGAAAACCAGCACCGTGAGTTTAAAAAGCCTGCAATGGCTGCCATCTAGGGGCTCGACTAAGTCCAGGTATTGATCATCAATGTGTTACCTCCAATCTCTGATCAAAAGGAGGGAATGATTTAGGAAATAATATTGGAGTTATTATTCCCTCTCCTTAAGCATAGAGAATGTGACCCAGCTGGGGCTGGGCTTACAGGGACTCACCGGGACACATCGGCTGGGCCCTGAGGTATAAATTCAACAGCTAAGATAATCTTGGAAAATACCTTTTAAGGAAACTTTCACATAAAGCCAATCAAACAGAACACAAAAGACCTTCTACTCTTATCTTTCTCTATTAGCATTTAGTGAATAGAAATTTGTTGGACCAATGAAGAACCTCCTGACTCTTGTTACTGAACCCTGTACCAATGATTGTTAAGAAAGACGATTCAAAATGTAGGATCACAGTTTCTAGGCAATCTGAAAAGGTGAAGCTTTAAATGGTTTTGCCCATTTGTAATGTTAATATATACTGATGATTCTGTAATGGTCTTTGGACTAGGGCAGACATGGCTGTGGCAGAATGCTTGTCTGTTTTCTCACTCTTGCCTATTCTGTAATATTCTTTGGACTCGGGCAGACATGGCTGTGGCAGCATGCTTGTCCATTTTCCCATTCTTGTCTATTCGGAAATATCCCTTGGACTCGGGGCAGACATGGCTGTGGCAGCATGCTTGTCCATTTTCCCATTCTTGTCTATTCTGTAATATTACTTGGACTCAGGCAGACATGACTATGGCAGCATGGTTGTCCACTTCCCACTTCTGCCCTTTTGAATATATGCCAAATAAAGCTTTCTTTTTGCTTTACTAGACTTTGTGATGTTGTTCCCCTACAACAGGAACACCAAGAATGCACCGAGTCAGTCTGTTAGTGGAGTCACTTTCTACAATATAACATGTGTCAGATGGCGCTAAGTGCTTCGGAGATAATTAAAGCATGGGAAGGGGCAGGGAGTTCTGGTGGGGTGTGGTAGTCAGGGATGTTTCTCGGAGCAAAGCTAGTGACGTTTCAGGGAAGACTTGGAGGAGGTGAGGGATTTGGCCATGTGAGTAGCAGGGGGAAGAAGGAACAGTAGGTGCACAGGCACTGAGGCAGGCACATGCCTGGTTTGCTTCAGAAACAGCAAGGAGCCCAAGGTGGTAGGAGATGTATGTAGGGGGAGGAAGTCACATGCTCACACATACACATGTACACACACATACATGGTTATTCACAAACTCAGCATGTACCAAGCCCACCACGTGCCAGCTCTGCATATCCATACCAGCCCCTCCCGCCCCAACACACAGGGCTGGGGAGACACTGGCCCACCTGAAACACAATCCTGGATTTCTCAAGCAGGTACTGGGAAGTTATGGCACCAGAGATCATGCCCCTGGAGGTGAGAACACAGGTCAGCTCACATGGCGTCAGGTTGGGGGTGGCTCTGAGGGTCTGTGGCTGAGTATGGGGTGTAGTGCAAGGCCAAGACTTCCCAGGGGCCCCTTCCACTACCCACTCACCCTTCCAGAAAGATCTCCATGAACTTCCCAAAGCGGCTGGAGTTGTCGTTCCTTACGGTTTTCGCATTACCAAAGGACTCCAAGAGGGGTGCTGCTTCCAGGATCTGGACCCCAGAAGATGTGGAACTTGGGGGGCTGGGCACTGTTCTGGAGGCCTGGGGTAGGAAGCATGGCTGGGACTACCCCTAGGTTTCTGCACACACAGACCACCCCAAGAACCTCCTTTGTGAGGGGTGACTGGAGATGGGCCCCCTATAGAGCCCTGGGGCCTCCCCGGTGACCCCCACTACTTTGACTTGACCTCTCCCCATACTGTGCTGCAGGTCCCATGCTACCCCCTCCCAGCTCCCTGGACTCCCTTGCATGGCAGCCTACAACACAAAGCCCCCCAGCCACAGCCCTAGCCCCAGACAGGCCCATGCTGCCATCCACACGAGCGTGCACACACATGCACACATACACATGCATAAGGTCCATGTGGCATGAGAACATGCATGCACCCAGACATGCACGCTCCAAGTACCTTTATCTTGAGGAGCACCGGGAGAGTTCAGGAGGGAGGAGAAAGAGAGAGGGACAAGAATAGAAGCAAGTCACCAGCAGACTGAGCACCATTCCCCCCCAGGAGATCAGGAGCCACAGATCACAGAGAGATAGGGACCCCTTTCAGCCCTGGTGGCAGGTGGGAGAGCCGCCAGATGAGAATAAACCTGGAACCTCACAGACCCCGCAGGCCTTCAGCACATGCCTCCAGATGGCTTGGCTTGTGGGCTGCCTGTGGCCTCCAGGGTGTAGGAATCCTGCTGGCTCTACCTGCCAAAATGCTCCAGGAATGTCCACTTCTCCCCACCCACTGCCACCACACCACAGCCCTCTTCACTAGCCCCCGAGCACCCAGGCATGTTCCTGCCTCTGGGCGTTGCACTTGCTGCTCCGTCTCCTCGAAGCTGAGGTGCTCACGTACCTGCCTGGCTCACACTCTCATCTTCTTTGCTCACCTAACAGCTGTTCAGATGACATCTCCCTGATCACCCTGGTTATATCAGCCCCCACCAGTGTCTTCTTCCCCTGTAGCCCACAGCACCATCAGCAACTCTTCTCCATCTGTTTGCTTATGTGTCGTCTCTCTCCCCCACTGAAATGGCAGCACCCATTCTAAACTCCCAGCACCTATACAAGACCTGGTACAGAGTGGGCCCTCAAAAAATATCTGCTAAATGAAAAATTCTCAACAAAATTCAAGCCAATAGAATTCAGCATCATATCAAAAAAATAACACACCACGACCAAGTAGGATTCATACCACGTATGCAAGGAGGGTTCAACATTAGAAAAT